AATGGGTCTTAGTCTGACTCAAAGTCTGTCTTCTCTGGGCACAGTGGAGTTTCAGGCCAGCCACTGACCAGAGCTCCAAACCAAGCATCAAATGGGAGAAGGTTTTTCATTGGCTGAAGGGCAAAGGGAAGGCACTATAGCTTCCCAGTGGGTGGGGGTTTTTCCCAGCTTCCAGGCTGGGCACAGGAATTTGCTTCTCCTTTACCCACTGGTGAGGCATCTTCCCGTGGCCTCCTGAGGCTGAGAACCAGGACCTACTTATTAGGACAAAGGGCAGGGTGGACAAGTCCCCTAGGTGTTCAGAGAGAAATATTCCTCATAGAACCAAGAGCTGGGGCATGGGGAAAATGGTGAGATGTTGCTCAGAGGGCACAAACTTTTAGTTTTAAGATAAATTCTGGGCTCTAATGTATAGTATGAAGACTATAGTTAATAATACTGTGCTGTATATTTGAAATTTGCTGATGGTGGATATATTTTTTTGTTTATTTATTTATTTTGAGAGAGAGAGTGCATGGGTAAAGCAGAGAGAGAGAGAGAGAGAGAGAATCCCAACCAGGCTCCGCACTGTCAGCACAGAGCCTGACGTGAGGCTCAGACTCACAAACTGTGAGATCATGACCTGAACTGAAACCAAGAGTCAGATGCTTAACCAACTGAGCTACCCAGGCTCCCCTTCACCATTTTATTTTTAAGTAATCTCTACAACCAGCATGGGGCTTGAACTCACAACCCTGAGATCAAGAGTTGCACACTCCACTGACTGAGCCAGCCAGGCACCCTATCTTAGACATTTGTAATCATTAAGATTATTTAAACAAATTAATTATTAAGATTATTTATACATCATCATTTAGGAGAGGCAACATCACTTCCCTCAGACAGTTTTCCTGAATGCCCTCCCCAACCTTGAGGTAGTTTCTGAGGCCCAGCAGCCCTGAGGAACAGAGGCAGCACCCAGGAAGCCCCAGGCCTGGAGGGGTGAGGGGCAGGGAGACCTGGGGAGCCAGGACAGAGGAGGAAGACGGGGGGTGGAGGTGGAGGAAGGCCGGCACTGGAGCTAGGCCCAGAGAGACTCCTGGTCCCTCTTCTGCTTGGCTGTCAGAGTGGTGTCCTCCCAGGGCAGAGGGGCGATGCCCCAGAACCAGGAGCCCACCATCTGTGTGTGTGTGTGTGTGTGTGCGCACACACGGGCATCTGTCAGGGTTCTCATGGGCACAAGTCATCCGAACCCAACCTGACTTAAGAAACAACCCTATAAACCAGAAGTCTGGACATAAAGTGTGCTGAGCTGGTGTCAGGGAGGACAGGGCTTGGGCTCCAGGCCAGCAGCTCTGACCATGAGCCCCGTGGGGCAGGGGCATTTGCTGCCTGCAGGAATGGAACAGGTGCTGGCTCTCTGGCACCCCCTGACTCCCCAGGAGGGCCCTGAGCTCTGTCCCTGAGCTGTGCCAAGCAAGGAGGGTGCCCGGGCTTCACCTTAGCACCCCGAGCCTCAGTCACCGTGTCCTAAGGACTCAGAGGCATTTCTTCCACAGCCCACGTCTCCTCTGGAAATGGGGTCCAGGGGTCAGAAGGTTCTGTTCATCCGTCTTTCTGAGCTGCTGTGTCTTTGGTGAGAAGATCAAGGACAAGTTCATGTAGACAGACTGTCGTTACTGAGGCCCTTCAACCAAAGGACAACACCAACCAGTATGAGCAAGATGGGCACCTTCACGAACACCAGAAGGATGTAGCGGTTCCTGCAAGAGGGGACAGAGCCGTCAGGCCCCAGGCACCCCAGGCGCTGTCACGCTTGCTTCCCTGACACAGTGGGCACTAGCCAGCCTGGCCAAGCCTGTGACCCTACTCTGGCCAAGCCCCGCATCCCTACTCTGAAGGCCGCCATGAACCTTAATGGCCCAACCACAAGGGCATCTCAGAAGTAACTTCAACTTTTTGGTTTTTCTTTGTTCTGGGTCCACCTTCCTTTCTTTTTTCTTTATTAAAAATTTTTTTTAACATTTATTTTTTGAGAGAGAGACACACAGAGCTAGAGCAGGGAAGGGCAGAGAGAAGAGGGAAACAGAATGTGAAGCAGGCTCCAAGCTCTGAGCTGTCAGCACACAAACCGCGAGATCATGATCTGAGCCAAAGTCCGATGCTTAACTGACTGAGCCACCCAGGTGCCCCAGGGGCTCGTGTTCCTTTCTAATCGCCCCTTCTGTGGCTCCCCTTTTCCAGAGTGCCTCTTGGCACAGTAGGGTCCCTCACAACAGGCTGTGTGCCTGCTTCTGTGACTTCGCTATGTAGTGGCACGCACTAGGTCATCAGGCTTTTTTTGTTGACAACTAAATGGGCAGATGATGTTTATAGAGAAAAAGATTCTACAGAGTGGCTTCCTGGGGAGGGCTGGCATGGGGAGACAGGGGTGAGGAGTGAGATGGGCAGGAGCAATGGAGGGGGGCACTTTGGGCCTTGACCTTGGCTGTGGCGGCTCTGGCATCATGTGAGGGCACAGAAGCAGAGTAGGAGAGGCCCCAAGTAGGGGTGGGTAAGGACGGCAGCCACTCACCTGCTGTAGGAGACAGACGATACCCCTGCACGGCCATTGGTGGTTCTCCTGGATAGCATGCTCGCCAAGGTGGTCAAAAGTGTTCCCTCTAGACACGGGCAGAGTCAGTCACAAGTTATGGGCACAGACAGGGCACTCGTGCGCGGCTAGTGCCCTGCTAGCCCTCCCCGGGAGGTGCCCTGCCCCTGCACTGGGCATTGCGTCTCTGGATACAGTCCCCATGCTTCTCCCTTGCTGCTGAGTCTTCAGAATTGCAGCATAGTTGCTTTCCATCACTTTAAAGTGTGACAAGAAGAAATAAAAATGAAATAAGAAGAAGCACTGTACTTGCTTGGGGGGAGAGAGATAAATCTTTCCACCTTCTCTCCGCTTATCCGTCTTAGGTGGGACTCTTGGCTGGGGGCAAGTCCCTGGTCTTTTCTCTCAAGTGGTGCCTGAGCTGGGCTCGAGGACAGGTGGTTCCGGAAGTGAGGTGCCCCAGTTATTTGGGTGGTGAGGAGGAGGAGGACTTTGGAGGACTGGTGAACCAGGGGGCACATTCTGGTTCAATCGTGAGCAATGGTTGTGATAAGTTAAACATCTTCATGAGGCACTATGAAGACGATTTATGGTGGCCTACTTGGTCATGGATTCCTGAGTCACCATGACCTGTTTTTTTAGTTGAGTCCCAGGCCTGAGGAGACCCCAGGACTGCCAGAGGGGTCCCGTGACATTAGCTTAATGGTCAAAGCCTTCCTTTTGCCTTAAAGCATCCACTGTTACACCAGCCCCTTTCTGGGTCCCTCTAACTCCCTGCTCCCTCTTATGCAGCCAGGAAAAAATAGAGAAGAGAGTGACTGGGGTCCCACAGCCACTATGGATTGGCCAAGCTCCTGGGGTTCAGTGCTGGGGCCCTCTGGGCTTCCCCAGGTGTCTCCCCTTCTCCTCTCTGTGTAATGGCGGGTCTGGAGTGTGACTGTCAGAGAGTGACCACTTCCTAGAGTAATGTCTGTGGGCGTCCAAGGTCAAGCCAGAACTCTGATGGGAGAATGTGGGACTGCCAGGGCTTTCCGGTCCACAGGAAAGCAGGCCTGGGCTGTGGGCATCGAAGGCGGGGTCCACGTCCCCACCCCCACCCCAATGCTGGCCATCCCTGCCCTGCATCAGCTGGATGCCTCAGGGAACCTCAGATGGTGATGGAGACGCTGTTCTCAGGCACCCAACTATTTTCCTTCTGCCCTCGGGCAGGAGGAACCTCAATCTTTCTGTCCTGAGCACGAGGGCCTCACTGTGTACATGAGAAAGTTCTCACCTGGCTCAATGGTCACTCTGATAGGTGCCCCGAGGTCAGGTCCACTCTTGCTGATCCCGCACCAGTAAGTGTCTGTGTCATCTTGCCTGACTTTCTCCATGGTCACTGTGAGGAAGTGGTGACTCTGGTTGTCCCCAATGGACACACGGTCTCCCTTCACTTCTACCTGTGATCCTGTGGTTTGAACGAGGGTCCTGCACAACTCCCAGTATGCTCCACGACACCACCACTTCCTATAGGTCGCCCATCTTGGTTTATAGTCACACCGCACAGTCACAGATCCGCCCTCTAAGCCCCTCACGGACTCTGGGCCTTGGATGGAGAGGCAACCTAGAAGACAGAATCCCAAGATACATCTTCTGCTACCTGAGCCCCATGGGCTCAAGTGGCCCCAGGCTGGTGTCCAAGGACTGATCCAGGGTCCTCGCCTTCTGGGCCACGCCCTGGCTCACCCTGAACATCCACCTCCTCCATCCAGCTTACCTGTCAGCTCTCTTGGTGACAATGTCCCAGCCTCTTGGGTCCCTCATCTCATGGGCCCTGTTCACAGCAACAAAACTCCCAAACCTCTGACACTGTCTTTCCTGGTCTTCTCAACTCAGCCCTCATTTAACCTCTTTCTTCTCTGACTGCTCATCTCAGAGGCCTCTGCTGATTTCTCTTCTTCCCTCTTTAAATCTTGGTGCAGACAGTGGTGTGTTGGTAAATAAATACTTAACAACTAGGCCTCTGGGGGAGAAAAATCTCCGTCTGTAGCATTTTTCCAATTTCTGTAGTGTAACTATTCCCACCCTGGCTGGTTTCAGACAATCGAGGCAATGTCACTGGCCACACAGCTCGAAAGAGAGGCCCCAAGTCAGTTGTTGTGAGTCAGTGTGATCCAGTCTGAGAACACCTCGGTAGTAGCCCAGGGTCCCCTCTCCAGGTCTCATGTTGTCCCACTTTATTACACCCCCATGGAGGGATTCTCCATTTCTATGATTTCAGTTACTGTCAATATGCTGATGGTCCCCCAAATCCCATGTTTGTGGCCCAAATTCTCCCCTTAGCTCCAGTCTACCATTTCCAGATACACACTATACATCTCTACCCCAAAATCAATAGTTACAGAACTAAATCCACCTGGAACTTGGTCTTCTTCAGTATTTCTTTTTTCTAGTGGAGGGCTCACATAGCATGCTAGCATAGGTCAACTGGGAGTGGGACGGGTTAAGGACAAGCACAAGTGCAAAGGGTATTCTTCTGCTCTGGGGACTGAGCCAGCTAAGCTGACCATATGTGGCTGGACAGACACTCTTTGTCCTTGGCAATGATCACTTGTGCCTTGGTCACATGGACGTGAACAATCACAGAGAAGCAGAGGAACACAATGGAAGCCTCTCCTGACTGTCTTAGATGGAGAGCCTCAGGGCCAGGCCAGGGAGGTGGGGGCGTCTGCATGGGGCAGAGGGAGTCAGGTCTGTGGTACCAGGAAGGTGAACCTCTTCACACCTCGAACCTTCTCCCTGATGCTATTTTAGGTCACTTGAGGTTTGCATTTGTGGTTGGCAGAATTATGCCCCACCAAAGACATTGATGTCCTAATCCTAAGAATGTGTGAATATGTCACCTTACAGGGCCAAAGGGAATTTGCAGATGTGATTAAGTTATCAGCCTTGAGGTAGGGCGATTATCCTGCATTATTCAGTTGGGTCTGAGGTCGTCACCAAGGTCCTTATAAGATGAAAACGAGGGTGTCAGAGTCAGGGGGAGATTGGAAGATGCTACATTGCCGGCTTTGAGGGAAGACAAAAGGATCATAAGCCAAAGAATGTAGGCAGCCTCTCAAAGCTGAACAAGGTGAGAAAGAGGATTCTTCTCCAGGGCCTCTGGAGGGAATCCAGCTTTGCCTACAACTTGATTTCAGCCAGTCAGACTATTTTGGACTTCTGACTTTCAGAACTGCAAGATAGTAAATGTTGTCATTTCAAGCCACTAAGTTTGTGGTAATTTGTTACAGCAGCCTTTGGAAATAAAAGTAGTATTCCATCAGTAGAATGAGCTCTATCTATGCTTTTCCAACCAACTGTGTTTCAGGGAGCCTTGGTGGCTCAGTTGGTTAAGTGTCCGACTTTGGTTTGGGTCATGATCTCATGGTTCGTGAGTTCCAGCCCCACACTGGGTTCTGTGCTGACAGCTCAGAGCCAGGAACCTGCTTCAGATTCTGTGTCTCCCTCTCTCTCTGCCCCCCCACCCCACTCATACTTTGCTTCTCTCTCCCTTTCAAAAATAAACATTAAAAAATTAAAAAAAAAACCAATTGTGCCACTAACGCACTTGAAGGAGATCTTGGCATCTTCATTAGTCCTGTCCTTCCCTTTTCCCTCTACAACTGGTTGGTAAACAAGTTAGTCAACTCTGCCTCAAAAATGTTTCTCAAAAAGATTCTCTTCTTTCCTCCCCTCCATTCGTGATGACAGCATGACACGGCAGAAAGAGAGTGAATGTGGACACAGAAAGACACGTCTACTGCACGCTACTTGAGAAATCTTGGGCAAGCTACTTAACTTCCCTGGGTATTGCTTCTTGGTTTGCAAAATGGCTGTGCTACTTTCCATTCTGCAGGTTGTTGTAACACTCGGGTACATGTCAAACCGCAGACCATCTTTCGGAGGTTGCCTCACCAGTGAGAGACTGTCACTAGGTCAGGAGCTCATCTGGTGCCTAGATCATGGCTGTGGCATCCAGCAAGATTTCTCCACTGCACCCCCTTCTCCAGTGCCTTCTGCATATCACTGCTGGAGTCATGTGCTAAAACTGTCCCCATCCCGTCCTCAGCAGCACTTGTCATGAGCAGATCTCATGATCTCTTCTGCAACCACTTGCCACTGTCTCAGGATGATTTAAAGCTCTTTAGTTGGGCATTCAATTTTTTTCTTTCTTCCATGTAGATCCAAGTTCTCTGTCCACCACTGTTTCCTACCCCTCCCTGCCTCCACTGGACCTTATAGCCTGATGCCCCCAATTGTCTCTTCTCTGACCCCCTCTCAGGGGCCATGTCACTGCTCACATCCTTCCTTCCATCTGGAAACCCTTCTCCAAGCCCAGCCTGCCTACTGGTCACCTTGTTCCCTTTCCCAACCAGAACTGCTTCGTCCCGTGGCTCCCATGCCTTTATAGGAACCTGGGTGCTGCACTGGTATTTTGTTACCATTACCAGCCTCTCTCACTGTCTCCCTCACTAGGACACTGAGGAGCAGAGATTTTGAGAGAGAGGGACACAGACAGACTCAATGTACATCTACATCTATATCTATGTAGATGGGAGAGACAGAGACAGAGACAGAGTGTGAGCAGGGGAGGGGCAGAGAGAGAGAGAGAGGGAGACACAGAATCCGAAGCAGGCTCCAGACTCTGAGCTGTCAGTACAGAGCGTAATGTGGGGCTTGAACCCACGAATGGTGAGATCATGACCTGAGCTGAAGTTGGATGCTCAACTGACTGAGCCACCCAAGTGTCCCAAGTTTATGATTGTTTTTACAAAGAACCTGGACATCAAGATCTTTGGACAGAATCATTCGATTCTGGCATGCGTAGGAAAAAAAAACAGGACAGTTGTTGTAAACTTTTATCAGTGGTCAGTGCTGAAATTGGGGTGGAGGGCAGAATTTCACTTCCCTTTTTTTAAGTTTATTTATTTTTGAGAGAGAGAGAGAGAGAGAGAGAGAGACAGAATATGAGCAGGGGAGGGACACAGAGAGAGGGAGACACAGAACCCGAAGCAGGCTCCAGGCTCTGGGTTCTGTCAGCACAGAGCCTGATGCGGGGCTCGAACCCACAAACCATGAGATCATGACCTGAGCTGAAGTCGGACACTTAACCAACTGAGCCACCCAGGCGCCCCCAGAATGTCACTTTCTAAATCATACATTTCTATTACGTGAAAATGTTTACAACATCACTAACAAAACAACTGAGAAAAAATGGTAATAAGCAGAAGAACTCAATTAGGAAAAAGGTTGCTAAGGGACACCAATGATGTAAATTAAAATCAAATGCAAGAGTCAGCAGAAAGGGCACCTGGGTGGCTCAGTTGGTTAAGTGTCTGGTCATGATCTCATGGTTAGTGGGTTTGAGCCCCGCATCGGGCTCTGTGCTGACAGCTCAGAGCCTGAAGCCTGCTTCAGATTCTGTGTCTCCCTCTCTCTCTGCTCCTCCCTTGCTCATGCCCTCCCTCCCTCTCTCTCTCTCTCTCTCTCAAAAGTAAATACATATTAAAAAAAAAGAGTCAGCAGAAACGGTCAGACATCGACAATATAGCTACGATCCAAAGCCAAGACTCAGTGTAGATGGTATTTGCCAACAATCAAAGAAGAGAGATGGAAGAGTGGAAGAGAGATGCCACTCTTTCAAAACCGAAGTGTCATTGACCATAGCTTTGTTAATTTAATCTGGCAGTAAGGCATTCATAACGTGATTGGGCTTGTTTTAAAAAGAAATATGTGCAGCACGCCTGGGTGGCTCAGTCAGTTAAGCATCTGACTTGCGCTCAGGTCATGATCTCACCATTTGTGGGTTCGAGCCCTGCGTCGGTCTCTGTGCTGATGACTCAGAGCCTGGAGTCTGCTTTGGATTCTGTGTCTCCCTCTCTCTGTCCCTCCCCCTCTTGTGCTCTGTCTCTGTCTCTCAAAAGTAAATAAACATTAAAAAATTTTTAAAAACAAAATAAAATAAAAAGAAATATGTGGGAGGCTTTTATAAGCACAGCCCCCGATGGGCAGAACCACTCATCAAGTCTTTGTGTTTTGTCAAGAGTTGGTGTGAAGGAAGGACAGCAGTCAGCTCAGAGGAGGACTCGGGAGTGGGACCGATGCGTTTTCAAACCCTAAGCTGTTTGAATCTCCATTTTTCCTATCCCTGACTCTGAGATGGAAATTCTCTCCCTTCATGTCAATCCCTCAGGGAAGTTTGCCCCATATGCACAATCCTTGGTGAGTAGTCTTGTGTCAAAATCGAGAAAACAGTTGCTATCTGGGTTGATAGCAAGTGACAAATGACACAAAATGGGCCAAAGGCAGCCAAGGGCAGGGCTCAGAGCAGAGGGGCTCATGTGGGTGTGGGATGTGCAGAGGGGGTTGAGCCCACCTTGCCTTGCAATGATGGGGCAGGTGTCCCTGCTGGGGTCCCCTTGCAACTGCACCAGCTCGGGCTCCAAAGAGTAATTTCTGGGCTACAGGTCTGTGGTTCTCTGCTTCTACGTGCAGATGCTTACTGAGCACCCATCTGTGCCAGCACCCTGCCTTCTCCTCTAGGTTGCTGCAGGACCACAAAACTGAGCAGACAAGAATGTCCTATCGGAAGTTGGGTCATTCTGACCTCAGCCCATCCACATTCATTCTTTGTTTCACAGAAGTAACCCCAGAGTGTCTAATGGCCATTTGCTAGTGGGGTGGCTTTTCTTGCATCATTGACTACTTCACCCCCTTCCCTCATTAACTTGCAGAGTTGGAGGAGGATGAGGGACACCCTGTCTTGTCTCTGCAGCACCCGCCCTGCCCAAGTCAGAGCAGCCACTGTGCCTCTCAGCCTTCGTCTGGGGGAGAAGACAGTGTGTGTGGCTTATTGTATGTGAGCCTGTGTGTGCACGTGAGTGTGTGTCTAACTCTGTATGAGTGTGTGAGAGCACAGATGTGAATGGGGTGTGTGCATCTGACTCTACTGTGTGTGTGTGTTGTGTGTGGGAGCCCAGGCAGCTCACCCTTACCCTTGGCCTCCTGCTGAGCTGGATGTTGGGATTAAGAGAGGAGCAGATGGGGGTCTCTGAACTCAAATGCACAGGTAGAGTCCTGGGGGAGATGCAGGCATTCTGAATTGCTGTTCTTTGGGAATTCTGGGACATTTGGAGTCCCGCCTAAGGAGCGTAAAAGTCACAGAGAAGCTGCTGCCCTCCCCACCCATCTGCAGGCATTATCATGGGCTTCCTCATCACTGATAAAATCAACAATGTTGGCAATAATTCGAGAATGACCACAGCCCTCATCTATTTATATCTGATCTGAATAACAGGGTCCCACAATGTTACAGCTAGGAAGGGCTTCAGGGACTTTCATCCACACCAGAAATCCAGGTCTTAGAGCAACGAGGGACTTGCTCGTGTCACATGCCCCTGTCAGGACTGGAACTCCAGTCTCCCCACTCCCTAGCTATGCCCTTTTTGGGGGATCCCTGTGGACCAGTCTGTTTTGCCAGGTGGTCAGTCTCCTGGCCCAGAGAGAAGACTGTGTGACCCACACACGCAGCATCTGTTCTGCAAACCTCTGAACTGTCCCTAATGTCTTTTCGGTGTGCAGTGGCTTTCCAAGGAGGAAAAAATACACAACCCATCTCGCATCTCCCACCTGGGTTCCTGAGCAATTTTCTCTTTGAAAGGCTTGATTCCTAGGCCTGGCCTCCAAGGGCCTTCATAATCTTGTCTTGTGTGTTTCCAACCTCACGACCAACCAGTCACCCCATGGCCCCCTGCCCACTATGGGCCCCCTGCCCACTGTGGGCCCTCAGCCCACGAATGCCCCATCCTTTCTCAAGCCTCCATGTCTTGGCCAAGCACCTCCCCTCTCCCTGGAATGCTCTTCTCCCTTCTCTGCTTGAAGGGCTGATCCCTTTCTTCAAGGTTCATCAAATGGATGCTGTCTGTATGGTCCTCTTTTTAATTTTTTTTTAATGTTTATTTATTTTTGAGAGGGAGAGAGACAGAGCATGAGCAGGGGAGGGGCAGAAAGAGAGGGAGACACAGAACCAGAAGCAGCTCCAGGCTCTGAGCTGTCAGCACAGAGCCCGACGCGGGGCTCGAACTCATGAACCATGAGATCATGACCTGAGCCAAAGTCGGACGCTTAACCAACTGAGCCACCCAGGCATCCCATGGGGTCCTCTTTTTAATGGCCAGCCCTGTTTCCCTTTTCCCTTCACTTCCTCAGGGCCTGGTGTATGCCTGACACAGAGTAAGACCCCAGTATGCTTTTGCTGAATAAATGAAAAAGAGCCACTTCTCATTTCTCCAGATATGACACTTTCCCTTCAGCCTGGGGTCGCTATCCATCCCCTGCCCTGCCCTAATAGTACGAAGTCCCCAGGGCCCCAGCCGCGCTCACCTGGGAGGCTGAGAAGAAGAACTAGCGGCAGCGGCATGGTCCTGCCTCTCGGGCTCCTTGTCCCTCTGGACCCACAACCGGAGCTCACACTCGGATCCCAGCTGGACTCTCAGAGCTCTGCCGGAGCCCCAGCTTGCACTTTGTTTGACTGGACCGCCTTTGAGTTTCTTACCTATTCACTTCCCTTTATAGAGTATTTCCTGCTTTTAATTATTCAGCAAACTGGGTGCAATTTCTTAGAAGGGCCAGATCACAGGGCACGGAAGTCCCCACTACATAGGAAAGAGGAGACAGGGCTGTGCAGAGTGAGGAGGGGCAGGATGATGTGTTTCTGCAGAAGGGTCTCAGCAGGATGCACCGGACCTATTGAGCTTAGGGCCCAAGGTGTACAATAGCCTGCATGTCAGCTCCAGAAACATTTCTCTACCACAGCAGTGGGTCCCAGCAGCGGGGAGCAGAGCCTCCTTCCCACTCAGGTGTCAGGTGAGCAACCTTGGTGCACTTAGATATGCATTTGCTCAGGCGTTACAACCAAGGGCATAAAAGTGCAGGCTGTAGGATCAGACAGACCTGGGCTTTAACCCCAAGCACCGCTTACAAGCTGTGTGGTTACGGGCAACCTATTGAACCTTCCTGAGCCTCAGTTTTTGTATCTGTAAACTGGGCTCGTAAGAGTTGTTATAGGAATTAAGTGAGAAAAGGCATGCAGAGTTTTGAGGACACAATCCTGGGATGGGGCTAGCATTCTACATTATTATTAGTGCCCCGGGTGAAGCTTTAGATGCTAGATAGGCAGTCAGACATAATAAGCCTAGGGCAGGAGGCTGAGGGAAGGCTGGTGAACTGGGTTCTCTAATTAGTAATAAAGCAAATTCTAGCCTTAACCTGACCTAATTTAATTGGGATCCTGATTTATAACCCAGTAGCTAAAACTCTTAAAGAACAGCTTTGTTTTTTTTTTTTAATTTTTTTAAACGTTTGTTGTATTTTTTGCGAGACAGAGCACAAGAAAGGGAGGGGCAGAGAGAGAGGAAGACACAGAATCCAAAGCAGGCTCCAGGTTCTGAGCTGTCAGCACAGAGCCCGACATGGGGCTTGAACCCACAAACGTGAGATCGTCATCTGAGCTGAAGTCAGACACTCAACAAACTGAGCCACTGAGGCATCCCCTCCCTTTTTTTAAATTTTTAAACTTAAAAAAAATATTTTTTATGTTCATTTTATTTCTGAGACAGAGACACAGCGTGAGCAGGAGAGGGGGACACAGAATCTGAAGCAGGCTCCAGGCTCTGAGCTGTTGGCCCAGAGCCCAACATGGGGCTTGAACTCACAGACCGTGAGATCATGACATGAGCCAAGGTTGGATGCTTACTGACTGAGCCACCCAGGTGCCCCTTGAGGAACAACTTTGGGGAACAGATGAAGGTATTTCTTCCCA